TTGTCACCAGTGAGGACTAAGATAGAAAAATATAAATAATAATAATATGTTACACGTTTAGGCCATAACATTAATATGATCAGTCACGATCATGAGATTAAACAATAAGAGCAAAATTATAGATTCGATTATCTTTATAATTGGTCTATACCAGAATTATATATTCTATAGTTGGTCAAGGTCTAATAAGGCTGGTTAAACATATAATAGATTCATTTTTATTTAATATATATTACAATAATACTTATTGAAAGTAATTTAAGCTTTACTACTGGTTCGGAAAAAACCACGGCCCTGGGAAGAACCTGTAAGAAACCCCCAATTTTAACTTTTTTGTTGCTTGAAACGCCGGGAATCAAAAAGTTGAAATTGTGCGCAACAAAGTCCGTAAAATTGGTTTAAATAGATATTAGCGACACTTTTTTTTTCAAATTAAAGTCACAATCTAGTGATACTCAGTATACAACAGTTTACACATAATATATTGTATATTTTAAAATACCTATTATCGAAAATGATTTACCAAAATGCTGTTTACTTCTGTCACATTTATATCCCACGAAAAAATGCTAAAAAAAACCTTATGTAGGTTAAGTATACATACTTGAAATCTTTAAGTGTCCTCAAACCTGAATATTTTAAATACCATGTTGCCACTTGTTGCAGCTAGGATAAAAGTATTATGCCTCTTCTGATGCGATAGTAGGTACTCCAAAATTGTAAATAACATTTGAAATTTAGAAAATTTTCGGGTCTTTTAAAGTAATAAAGGAAAAAAATTATACTTGTCTGTGGATTATAATCAATATTGTTTTCTGGGTAGACAGCAAGAAATGAAATTGTGCCTTCTAACGACACTATAATCACTTGGCTATTAATAACAACCGTTACCGTTACAGCATATTAAAGTCCACTGCTGAACATAGGCCTCTCCCATAAATTGCCTCATGGGGGGTATTTTTTATTTGGACAGTTTTTTTATTTCAGTCGTTATTACAAAGATGCTGTTGCCCATCTCCTGATTTGTTTCCCTCTATCGCCTCTTACGACACAGTGGCTAGGCCGTCTATACATAGAAGAAGGCGAGTACCAACGTATAGACATACCATTTGTCTAGCCTCGCCATTGCTCGTCGACGCTCGCCTAGCTGGCCGAGTGCAGGCGAGCACCAACGTGTATACGGGTCTATGGCCTTGCCACCACTCGGTCCTGCTTGCTATCGCTCGCTATGACTCGTCTCACTTCGGAACAGTGTCGGTTTTCTGCACAAATCAAAGGCGCTCGCCTGCACTCGGCAAGTCGCGTCCACGTGTTAATGTTAGTCGGCCATATCACCATGTCAGTTACAACTTACAGCTTGGCGTCCGTCCCGGTGGGATGTTATGTTTTATAATGTCGCAACTTCAATATAATTTCGATAATGTCACTGCCTCTTCTTTTTCTTTACAACTGACATCATAATTGTATGTACTCATTAAATAAATAGCAGAAGTTGCAATAACTTCTACGACGTCCATATCGTTCTAACTCTCAATGAAAACTAATTCCGGCCAACATGTGGATAGCTCCACAAAAACTCGTGAACATTGGCAGTTGGCATTGGTCTCTTTCGAGCTTGACCGACGTGTAGACTGTAGCACTTGCCTTGTATCAATTTGCCTATGCTCGCGTTGGCTGAGGCTTGGTCAACATGTATTGCCGGGGTTACACCGCCACTACACGACAAACAAGTAAACAACTTTACAACAATTGCTAGTGTAATCAATCCTTTGCTTCATATTGACAGGATTGACCAATACACGTCCGTTAATTCAATTTTTCATATGAAATAATTAACTTTAGTTATACTTCACTGAGCAGCGTCGTTTTGTATGCAAATGGCCGAAATTATAAATTAATTATTTTAGCAAACTAGGTATACAAGCCTTGCCCATCCGTATGGATTTTAAAATTTATTTAAGTAATTAAAAATTAAGTTGACGACACGCCTAAAGCAGCGTATCCACCAAAAATGTTGACAACATTTATGTTTCCAACTGTTTACAACACAACAAAAGTTACGAACTTTTGTTTCCGATGTTGCCGACAAATGTTTCCAACAAGCGCCTCCACCGAGGGAACAAATGTTTGCAACAAGCGTATTCCTTTGATGTTGCCGCCGACAATGGAAACACGGTTCCCGACATTGTTTCAAGTTTTGTTGCCAATACTAGGTAATTACAGAAACATTTGTTACCAACACGTGTTGGCACCACAACAGTTGGTAACGAAATTTTGGTGGAGACGCGGCTTTATACTAACATCGCCGCTCCCAGCTGTGCCCCCCCCCCCCTTCCTCCACCGCCCACTTGCAACGCAACTGGCTAATGGTGATATAAAATGCATATAATGATAGTGAGCAGAGAAGAGTCCGCTACATTTAATTTGTCAGTGTCAATGTTAGTTTGTGAGGCAGGATCTGGAGAAGATTATGTTCAGCAGTGGACTTTAGAAAGGCTGATTCAATCTCTTGTGTCAGTTCAACAAACCAAACTAAGATCGCATAAGATATAAGCGAGCGCTCGGTCCAACATAAATAAATAGCGTAATGATAAGAGTTTACTGATTTCACCTGAGTGGTAGGTATTTGTTCAAATAACATTGTCAATCAAACTAATCTTTTGCGGCCGCTTTATCGGTTTCATCACAATGATAAAGTAATAAATGTATGAAAACGGCACTGGAGTTTCAAAATGTAAACATTTCTTGTTATAATTGAAATGGCTTCAACGGTTTAGTATTTTTTAACTATAATAGCCAATGCTCCCCACCCGATGGTAAGTGATACAAGCGAAGATGGTGAAGCGCACTGACTTAGCTTTACAAAAACCTATTCGCTCTTGACTTGTAAACAACCTTCAATACAATCGGATGGAAAGACAGATGCTGCCAAATTATTCTACGCTTAACTACGATGTAGTTCGTAAAGCAGATCCAGTTAAAGCATCCCTTCATCCAATCCCTTATTCTAGCTTTTTACTGTAAAGTATTCTGTGACATTATAACAATTTATATATTATACCAAAATAATCCTTACGGATTCCACAAAAACAATGCCCAAAATATTCGCAATTAACAAAAAGTTAAATTAATACATACATACATACATACATATAATCACGCCTCTTTCCCGTAGGGGTAGGCAGAGACCACTTCTTTCCACTTGCTACGATCCTTACATACTTGTTTCGCTTTGTCCACTTTCATTATTCCCTTCATACATGCTCTCCCGTTTAGGGTACTCTTGAACTGGCCTTTTTTCAAGACGTCCCTGATTTAATCTAGAAACGTCCGCCTAGGTCTACCCCTTCCAACACTTTCATTCACACTCGCCTTATACACCTTTTTCGTCAATCGTTCTTCATTCATTCTCTCGACATGGCCAAACCATCTCAGCATACCTTTCTCAATTTTTGTCACTACATCTTCTTTCAGACCACAACGTTTCCTTATCTCACTATTTTTTATCCTGTGACCACACGAGAAGTACCAGCTTTGAAACAAAAAAAGAATCATCGAAATCGGTTCACCCAGTAAAAAGTTATGAGGTAACACACACAAAAAAAAACGAAACATACCGTCGAATTGAGTACCGTCTCCTTTTTGGAAGTCGGCAGAAAACAAACTTGCAGATGGGCAGCAGTGTCTTTCTAACAACAACTAGAAAATTAAGCAATCCGCTTGCCAAGCGTCGTAACTATGCAAGCAAATGTCGCCCTTATGAGATAATATATTAAGAGCTTATGATGGATGGATGAAAAGGTATCATAAGCACTCGGAGACAAAGAGTTAAATTTAACGTTAATCTTTTCAAAATTAAATCCCCACGATTCAATAAAAAACTTAATGTACATCTTATCCAGAAGGATAGACAAAGACTATGGACTTCCATTGTGCACGGTCCTAACACACCTTTAAAATATAAATAAAAACAATTATATACAACAATTTTCTTGATTTAAATACTTTTTAAAAAATAAGTAATAATTCCTTATATTAGAACTTCTACTAGACAGTGCCCTAAAATAAATTTGTCGGAATCGACCCTGGAAACCATTGTGTCACATACGAAGCGATATCTGCAAAACTTGGATATTTGATTTATCTACAATATTTTTTTTTTACACTAGAACTTTTTTTAAACGATGGCGTTAAATCTTATTTGATTTTCTGTTCCAAATAATTGTTGCAGCTTTTAAAGTAATTTTGACTGAGTTTTAGATGGCCGATTGTCGTGAAAATTGCACAGGGCCGACGTCAATACAATAAATTAGCAACTTTATTCTAGTATCCTCAAAAGGATCACCAGGGTAACATATAATAATGAGCTCAGGATCGATGCATGTTGTTTGGGTTTTTCTAAAGCGTAATATGATTGTATTTTTTTTATAGAATAAGGGTGACAAACGAGCACACAGTCCACCTGATGGTAAGTTGTTGCTGTGGCCCATAGACATCTACATTTATTCTTGATTAAGAATCGAAATGTAGATGCAATATCACGCCTGAAGACTAAGACGGAATGCCTCATTTCCAGTAAAAAGGGTCTCCTGTTCTCTACACTCACCATACGAAACAGCAGCATTAAGCTGCTATTTTACGCTGGTATTCTGTGAGAGCGTGGTCCTACCCCGATCGAGCCGACCCATTTGTGCTACAACCATAATATAATATGTATTTGCAATTTGAGAATTAAGTAAACGTAATCAAAATTACCTATACGAGAAAACAAGTATTATAATGTAACTAGTCTGGTTACATTAAAACAAAAATAAATCAGTGCCTAATCGGCAAATAGAAACCAGTTAATTACAACAGAATTTAACAATGCCAACAATAAACTTAAAACTTGCCATTCGTACGATTAAAGTTTCCTTTCCAATAACAAAGGTTTTACGTACAAATGAACTAGCGGAAGAATTTTTTCTTTGTTTCAAATAATTACAAAACTAATTACTCACCTCAAGTTTCTTGGAGTATTCCTCAGAAATGCGTTCTTGTTCCTTTTTCAATTCCTCATTCTTCTCCAACAATGCCTTCCCCAGTTCCGCAGCTAGCAACAGATCAGATTCCTTCTGTTGAAGCTGACTCCACACGTCTGGTTCTGCTCCTGCGTCCATGGTGTCTCTCGTTGCGGACATTTCTTTAACGTAAACTTCTAAATCCTCATAAAAATTCTCGTCAGACAAACTAAGAACTGACGGAGTAATTCTAGTACTACTCACGCTCCTGCTTCTCCTACTTTTAGTCCCTACTGGTGTCGAAGTTCTTCTGTTTCCTTTACCAAAAAATTGAGTCTCTTCTGTAATAAAGCTTGGCGATTTAAGATCAGGCGGTTCGGTCACGGGGGAATCGGTGTATTTTCTACTTCTACTGATATTTGCACTAAATTCACCGGCCATTTAATCTAAAACTGTTAAGTATATTAATTAACTTTGCACTATTTTCGTGTAGTTATTCTTTTTGAACAGTTTGTCCAACGCTTGTTGAATTTTTACAGCTTTCGGCAGTTTCACGTTTTTAAAAATGTTCGTTGGAATGTCGAAATCCTTTTTTAATGCCATTATAATATCTGTACGAATTCACGAGCGTAACATTTCCGTGACACTGGCACTGCACTGTACACGAACCTAGACGCACTCGCGACGCGACCGCTCCACGCGGGTGTTACCTCGACGACGGTACAGACACAACAAACTGGTGTTAAGCCTGCGAGGTGGAACGAGGCTTATTCACCAAAGATTATACATTAAAGACATTCTACAGGTACAAAACTATTTAAAAGTTATTAGCATAATCTATAGGTACAACGTACTATGTAATTAATTAATTTCTAATCACCCAAATTATAATAACCATTTAATTCTAAATAAATAATTAACTAAATATTTACAATGAATATATCATTCGTATTTGAAAAATGTCTTAAATACAATTTACTTACGTCATTTACCCGATAAATGAATTTGCTAGAATAATTTACTTACTTATTAAGTTAGGCTTTTCAATCCATAATGATTTCTTATAGGTACATATTTACGCGGATACTACACATAAAAAGTTGCCATTTAATGCCAATGATTAATAAATAAATATATAAATAAATAATAATAATGCCAGCACAAGTTTAAAATTTAATACATTAGTAGCTTTTATTTGTCGTGTAATCATGGATTCACTATCCCATATAATTCCGTCGGTTATCAGAGACGACAGATGAAATTTAAAATAGAAGATGAATAGCAGTATATTCCTGATAACAACTTTATAATAAAAATAAAACTGCAATTGCCAAACTTGACTGCTAAGTGTGACAACTATGGCAAATATCTCTCTGCCTATTTTCATCATTGAACGTTTGATGGGCTCTAAGGAATGATATAATGAAGTTTGAAAATCTGAACATAAGTAGCTTTTTTATATATCGCAAAGACATTCGGCAAAATACTGTTTGAGCTTAATAATTTCATTTCTAACATGACTTGAAAAAGATAATCTTTGAAATGTATTAAAAACGCGAAACCGATCGATAAGACGTGGTAGAGCCATGCTGCAGCTGTGTTATGGTTGCAGCATAATACTGCCATATCGTATCAACAACGTCTTAGCATTTTATGTGCGGGTAGACCGTGAGCTCTTTTGTCGCCTTTCGTCCTATAAAAAAGACGATGTAGAAAAATCCAACATTAATTCATATTTGTCAATAAAGAATTGTATTTGCGGTGTAAAGTATTACCGATGGTCCACGCTAGGCGCGCATGTCCTGTATGTACCTACTTGATATGAAAAATTATCAAGAGAAGTATTTCTCAACTGCATAAGCACTGGAGCTCCACCAAGCTACGGTATCCGTAGATAAAATTCATCAACGTGACTGATTTTCCATCCCTAGTCAATTACAAAGTTTTCTAACATCCTATTTAAAAATATATGAGAAATTAAAAAATTAAAATTGTAAGTCACCTAAAATTTTAAAAAAAGGTCTTTAATAATAGCGCAAAGCCCATGTAAAATTTTTTTATGCCCATATCATATCCTATGCCTACATAATCTTTGACAGTAACCAACACGTGTGTTTAAACGAAACAGTCTAAGCAGGTAACCTGAAAACCTGTGCGCCAGACAAAGATAGCTATAATAAATCAAGGTGATACAGGAGAGTGGCAAACTACTCAAAATGTCGAAACATTTATTTTTATTATCGTAAAACTAGGAAATGATCTCACAGCGATCCAAAAAAAATCGGAATATAAAATTAAAAGTAGTACAAAAAACGGACCTTGGATTTATTTGTATGCAATGGGTAATTCAGCAATTATTATTATCGATTTCCACAACATCCTACTGATTTGGATCAATTTTATTGCTCGGATTATTAAATGAAAGATAGACGCCGGCAAATTATTCCACTCCTTTGCTGTACGCATAACAAAAGACGAAGCAAACCATTTGGTTCTAATGTGTGGAATATCGACAACAAAGGGATGAAGACCCGCCGACCGTCTGGTTGTCCGATGGTGGAAAGGAGAGGGAGGAATTAAGGCGTGTAATTCCTGCGCACACTCACCGAAATGCATCCTATAGAATACCGAGAGACTGGCTACTCTGCACCTGTGCTCGAGGCTGACAAGATGACCTTGATTTGGTTGAAACCATTCAACCAAATCAAGGTCACCAATGAGCCTCTTAGCACGTCTCTCCACTGAGTCCAATGCTGCCAGGTGGCATTTTGCAGCACCACGACCGGACTTGCGCTTTATATAAGGTAAAAAGCTGCCCCGGCGTGAAGTACCGCCGCACCCTTGCAAGGACACCAAGTTTCCTTGCGGCTGCTTTGGCTCTGGACTCAATGAACCGCCCATAGTTTAGGTTCGGAGAAAATTCAATCCCTAACAACTGAAGGCGGTCAGTGTACTCCACGTCGGTCTACGTTCAGATGTGGATTTATTATAGACTGTAGTGATTGTGATTACGCAATTTATAACTCTTGATATAAGGAACAATTTCGCTTTCTTAAATCGCTGTGGGTTTCGAGTAATTTGCGTAAATTTCTTAATTGTTTTTTTTTTGTATAATATACGGTGACAAACGAGCACACAGTCCACCTGATGGTAAGTGGTTGCTGTGGCCCATAGACATCTACATCTATCCTCGTTTCCGAATCAAAATGCAGATGCGTTATCATCCCTGAGAACTAAGATGGAATGCCTCGTTTCCAGTAAAAAGGGTTTCCGGTTCTCTACACTCACCATACGAAACACAGCAGCGTTTAGCTGCTATTTTACGCTGATATTCTGTGAGAGCGTGGTCCTTCCCCGATCGAGCCGACCCATTCGTGCTACAACTATACTACTAATATAGCTACAGCATTGCTCTACCATGTGTAAAAATTAAAAACCGTTAGGAGGAGAGTGATGAGGTGCAGTGCAGACATGGAGCGATATATAGCGGGCTTCAAGTCGGAAGTTTCCCCAGTGATATCCTTAATTTTAATAGGTATGCCAAGTGAGGAACTAGTGACAATTAGTGACTCAATACTTCAGGATCAAGCAGCCTGAAGCCCTTTTTTGGGAGGATTCCGGGTTAAATCAAATCCCATGGCCATTTAACAAAACCACCTGTTCATATTTAATAGAAGTAAATATGAGGTTGTTATAAAGTAATTTGCACCCTCAGCAACACCACACTGGGCACGACACACCACTCTCACTAGTGTGGTGGTGCTGGGGGTGGTAGTGCTGGGATTGACGGCGAAGGGTATAGTGCCCGCGATTGAGGGAGGGTGGAAGATCCCCTTAAAACTGGGCAGGACACATCATTTTCTTTCTTTACGCGGAATTAAGCAAATTAGGTTATAACAACCCCATTATAATGGATTTCCGCAAAGTAACGCCTGATTCTATTAAGAAGTAAATATTCTAAATTTTAGAGCTAATAGATGTTAAGTTACTAAAATTCTCGACTCCCATCCATCTCATCACCAACCGCGCTGATATATAGGCTTAGATATATACGATGGCGTAAGTATATTCTAAGTCTATGATTATAAAATAATACAATATTCGCCGTGTAGTGAACTATATAAGAGAATGCTAAACTTTATAGAGCCATGCTGCAGTTATATTACTGGCATAGTTGTAGCACGAATGGGTCGGCTCGACCGGGGAAGGACCACGCTCTCACAGAATACCAGCGTAAAATAGCAGCTAAACACTGCTGTGTTTCGTATGGTGAGTGTAGAGAACCGGAGACCCATTTTACTGGAAGAGAGGCATTCCATCTTAGTCCTCACGGGTGACAACGCATCTGAATTTTAATTCGCAAACGAGGATAGATGTAGATGTCTATGGGCCACAGCAACCACTTACCAACAGGTACACTGTGTGCTCGTTTATCACCCTAATTCTATAAAAAAAAAATTCACTACCCCATATCATCCCGCAAGTGTAAGAGGCACCAGTGGTAAATGCAACAGGAGATGAGCAGCAGCATCTTTCTGATAATGACAATAAATAATAATTTAAAATTTTGTACAACCGACTTCAATATAAATTATTAAGAATAACTCAAAACTATTGGTCAGACCTTGATCAAATCTATATGGGACCACATGTAAAGCACCAACTTTAAAATAAAAAAAGAATCATCTAAATCGGTCTACCCAGTAAAAAGTTATAAGGTAAACACATGAAAAAAAAAACATACAGTCGAATTGAGTACCGTCTCCTTTTTGAAGTCGGTGGAAAAAGTAAGTTCAAAAAATAAAATCCGACTACTGAAAAATCACGCTCTAAAAAGTGTGAAACAAGAAAATATTCTAATCTGAAATTGATAAAAAAATTTATAGTGATTTTCAGAAGATAGCCGTGGCCACATGCCACTTTGCCCTAAAGTTTATGGTTAGAATGTGTGCCGGACGGGCGTAACTCTCCGGAGTAAATGTTGTCGGAGATACCCCGCGGGTCGCTCACGTCCTACACATGTAGGTTCCAGACTCCTCCAACTGCCGTCTTTCACTGCCGTCTCTTTGGTTGCTGCGGATAAACTGTGGACTGAGGTTCAAAATTAAAATGCACGATTTGTAAATTAAAATAGCAAGGGAGTGGCCAGCGGATCGACTAATTAATTTGTCGCGAGATTTTGCACTGTTATTTATTTATCACTATTTTTCAACTATGATTGTTCACTATATATTTTAAAACACAGATTTAATTAAACACACAGTAATATTAAAATTTCTATTGGTTTTCTAAAATTTCTATTCGTATTTTTAAAATATCTGTTGGTAATATCAAATTTCTATTGGCAGTAACAAGTTTCTATTGGTATTCTCTACAATTTCTATTGGTAATTTTAAATATCTATTGAAAGTAACAAATTTCTATTGGTAGTATCCAAAATT